ACACACAAAGAAAAACAAGTAGATAGAATAGAAAAAATAGAAAGCTAGTGTTTGTTTGTTTTTTGTTGTTTTTTTTAAATAAAAATGAACAAAATAATAAAAAAGAAGATAAATATAAAGTAGAATTAAAATAGAATAGAAAGTGTTAGAGTTAGAGGGTCAAATAAAGGTATTTTATTATAAACTAGAATGCACTAGGTGAACAACTGAATAGTGAAGTCGGATTAGGTCGATAAATCGCGACTACTACAAGAAGCCTCGATTGATGTATAAAGATGTCTGTGCCTGATGAATACTGGCCGAAGTTTATAATGTATAAGGCCTAACATTTATGTAAGGATAATGCACGGCTAGCTGTGCATTAAACGATTTTAATGCAGGACGTGGATGCCAAGAACAAACCGACGTCAACAATTGGGGTGTAAAAATCATTTAATGCACAGCTAGCCATGCATTATACTGCTTATACAGTACTATGGTCATTTGCCAGCAATGACAACTTAAATCCATTAATGATGTTTGTAGTGCAATATTTGATTGGAAGGGTTAAAAATGGCGGTAATTTTAGTCAGTCACAAGCTCTAGCATTCTGTCCGCTTCAAATCAGACACAGAGATGAAATAGTGCGGTAAGATCACATTTATTTGAATTAATTACAGCATTTATTTGGATCAATTATCGACCGAGAGAAAGAAAGAGAGAGATTACAGTTATGTATGTGAGTTACCTGAGTCTGCTCGTCTCTCTCTGCAAACAATGAATCTGTGTTTACCTCAAACACAACGATTTTACCACCTTGTTGCTTAAGAATATAATGTAGCGATCCATCTAGGCTATTTTATTAATAAACGCCGCGGGGCAGCACTGACAACAAGTTTCTGTGTGTGTGCGCAGCGCGATTTGCGATGTCCGACCTCTCTCTCTCTCTGTGTATATGTTTGCGAGTGATGTGTGTGTTTGTGTGCATCAATTAAAGCAGCGCATTAATATAGAACAGTGATTAAACTGACTTGGAACTACCTGTGCATTAAACAGTTTTAATGCATACCTGCCGGCCAATCAGAATCGAGTATTCAGACAGACCATGGTATAATACTATTTATACTACGGGCCATTGAATGCTTGAATCTGATTGGCTGACGAACGTTCAAAGGTGTGCAATTATTTTCAGGGAAACGCACTGCGAACGTAGTTCTAGGCAGGTTCTGACCGCATTACACGTCCATATCACTTCACCAAATGCTTTGAGTTATTTCAAAGGTCCTTACAGCCTAAAACAGCAAAATAACCAAAACCCACAACAACACTGACCAAACAAATAAATACAGTAAACAATAGGATAAAAACGACAGAATAGTCTTTTTGCCACAAAATTACGTTTTATTAACTATGTACGTAAATAACATACTTATGTAACGGGGAAAAGAAACTTGTAATGAACTGTGCCAAAATGATTGTTCATATTGCAAAATAATTCTAAGATATTAATTGAATAGAATGTATTAAATGCATCTAAAAGAAAGGGATATGGGGACACCTACAGGTGACTAAGGTAACCTATCAGTGGAATTGGCCATTTTCTCCTCAGTCGCATGAAAGCCGTTGAGGAGAATGGTAGGTGTAAAATCTCCCTCCTGTCGAACAGAAATAAAATGTTGTCAGAGATGATTTTATTTCTCTTTAAGGTCAAAATTGTTATTTTAAAAGTATTTTATTTCATATTTGAGTCATAAGAGATATAGAGTTGACGGACAATTGATGTTTTATTCTGAACGCACTGTTGAGTGCATTAGGAGCACGGGTGCAGATAATTCTTTTCTTGGGATTGGACGGGGGAAATATCTGATGCAGTTTTCTGATAACAAGCCAGGGTTGGGTGAATTTGACTATAAGACTGACATTCATGCTGGTAATGGGAGAAATTATATGGCTTATGGTGTACATAAGACTCTCCCTCTTACTTCTACTCCGAAGCCATGTAATGTGGAAAGTTCTAGTGATCAAGATGTCAGTGAATTAGGTGCTTTAGTTAAAGAATTGGGCCAACAAATTGGTGACTCAGTCACAGCCAAACTTTTGTCAGTGGGTGAATTTGCCAGAACCAATAATGGTAGTAACACCACAGGCTCTCAATGTGCTAATCTTGATTTGTCACAGTTGAATGTCGTTCTGAAATCAGATGAAGTCCCACCAGTGTTTAGGGGGGATGGTTTAGGTAGGTATGACATTCAAGAATGGGTTGAGATGATGCAAGTTTACCCGCAGAAGAGAAATGTCAAAATTACTGAACAGGCTGATGAGATTAGTAGTCATCTAATGGGCAGGGCCAAAGACATTGTGAAAGTAGCCCTACGCAGCAACCCTGCGCTTGACTGCACAAATCACCCTGAGATTATATACAGCATACTTAAGCAACACTTCAGTGAAGTGTCCTGCTCCAGCATGCCACTCGCAGACTTTTACAGCACATTGCCCAAACACGGCGAAAATCCTGTTGACTACTGGCTTCGCCTTAATAAAGCAGCAGATATAGCTGACGAGTGTCTCAGAGGGCAGGGCAGAAGAATGGACAATTTAAATTCTGAAGTTGCAATGATGTTTGTGAGAAATTGCCCAGACCCTGATCTAGCACGCACTTTTAAAGTACGGCCGTTAGAATGCT